CTCCCCATTCTATTCAAAGCACCCAAACTGCCATGTTCTTTGTCTTTCAACCTTTTTGTGTGTTATATCCAAAGCTCTACCATCAGTGCCATCCTTTATCCAGATTGCACATTTTTTTTCAGCATTGGAATCTTTGCTCAAATATTCTCTGCTCCAGAGTTTCATCTGACCTACTGTTTCCTGTTTCTATCACAATGTTTACTTCGCTGTATTGAAACTGCTTGCTTACTTTTCTATTTTCCTTATCAGACAGTAGATTGCCTGAAAGAAGAATATATGTTACTCATTTTAGGATATTTAAAAACTGGCAACATGCCTTGCATAGAGTAGGTGCTCAGTATATGTAAAATGAGCAATTTAATTAATATGCAGTTGTATGAACAGAAATATACCAAAAACAACTGTTTGGTAAACTCAAGAAAGGGCACCAATCTTGCCTGATCTTTTTCAGAATTTAGAAATAATGCAGAATCAGTAAAATACTTAGTCAGGCCCTCCCTGGTGGCGCAGTGGGTTAAAGCACAGCACTAAGAAGCTGAAGCCACTTCCTCATGAGTTCGATTCCTGCTTGCCCTGGAGGTGACCACAAGGTGTGGCAGACATCTCCTGACCCGCCCACTGCTCCCTTCATCAATCTGCCTGTTCTGCTCCCCACTCTGTAGTGAAGCCTCTCGCCACCCCTGAGCCTCTTGCCTGTACCCCAGTTCTGTATGCACAAATAAATAAATCTTTAAAAAAAAAAAAAAAACTTAGTCAAAGGTATAATCTGTCTTCTACTTTCCTACTCATTATCTCTAGAACCTCTATATCATTTGCACTTTTTACATGCTCACATATATTATGCCACTTAGTCATTAAATGGCATAAGGGTGTGTTACTCAGCTGGGATTTAAACATGTCCCACTGGTATAATATGAGGAAAATAGGACATAGTGAGACAATTCAGCTTATGTCTGGTTCCTGCCATTTAACTACTGGTGTTTTAAACGTTCTCCTAATCTGTCTAAATGCACTCTCGCTCCCACTTTGCCAACCTTAGTGAAGGTAAGCTGTTATTTTTACACATTGTTGTCCTTATGATCCCAGTTGGCAGTCAAGGGTAGCTAATTGAGCCAGAAAGGAGTATATAGACTTTAGGGCAACGCAGAACTGGTTTTGACTCCCAGTTATCAAAACATAATAAACATAATGTTTAAATAATTCTGTGTTAGCTATTTAATTTCTCTGAACCAGTCTCCTCATATATAGATATACTAATGACTTCCTCTTAGGTTATGGTAAAAGTTAGATAAGGAATATAAAAAAAATTGTAGACTTTTCAAGTGCCACATAAAATTGTTGTTTTTACTATCATTTGATGAGGTTGAAAGATGGCACAGAACAATGTTTCTCAGAGATTTGTGTGGTGCCATATTGGACAAGCATAGTCAAGGTGTGCCCACAAAGTTACTGAAAACTGATGTTAGCTTATTAAACTTTTTGAGAAGTCTCACTACATATATATAGATAGATAGATAGATATAAATATAGATATGTGTGTGTGTATTCACTAAAACCCTCATTTTGCCAATTTATTTGAACCAAAAGAACACTGGTTAATACCTAATGGAATACAAAGCATGAGAAAAGCAGAACAAATATTCTCTTACCAGGTCTTATCCACATGACTTCTGTGACAGTTATTCAGAAACAAAAATGAAAAAATAACAGCAAACTATTCTTTACTCTACCATCCTCTGACTTACAAGTTACCTATTTGCTAAGAAAAAAAGAATGTCTCAATATATAGAAAGATACAAAAAGGAAATTCAAGGTAGAATTTTAAGAGTTATAAAAAAAAACTTCTGAAGGAAAAAGATATATAGACATAATTGAATATGGGTATAAAGACAAATTCTATGCTGATTGGAGAATTGTGATTCCCACTGGATGAACTGCACTTTTGGTAACTTCTGGAATTATATGAAATGAACAAGAATGAAAAGTACTTTCTCATTCATTTGCAGACACATGAAAATCATAATTGTTCTTTCCATATCTAGCAAAAATTCACTTCATTACTTCAAATGGTTCTTTACCAGCATCAACTCCTGTGACTCTAAGAGCTGTCATTAATTTTCCATTAGTAAACTTTAATTAATATGTATCATTGCTTTCAGCCTGACATATTTAATGAACGCATTAAGGCATGCAAATTATTTCCAAAATGTTTCAAATAGTTATTTCTGAACAGGTGAATACTTTGATGTAATTTCAAAGACTTTTATCCACAGAAAGCTTTTAGAATGTGACCCTTACCTAAAAATAACTATAGTTTTATGGAAGTACAATGAACAGTTACCAGCCTTGCTAAAATCTATTGTATTGATCTTAGAACGTAGCATGTTAAAACATGAATAATGACTTCTGGGCACTGAACATTCAGTGCCCTGGAGTTTCCAAAATATTTGTATACAATACACTGAAAAGAAAACTTAGAAAAGGCAGAAGGAGAGCTGATTCTAATTTAAAGAATCACAGTGTTTTCAGATAATGGTCCAATATAATAATCTGAAATAAATTCTATTCCACTAATTTATTATCAAAGTTGCACTTAACCCCCCCATAATTTTATTCAAATATTTTACACTAAGAAAATTTGAAACAATGTAGAATATCTCAAGAATCATAGGGTCTATATACTTTCTAATAATTTTCTAATTCCCTACTTTAGGCTAACTTTTTATTTTAAAAAAAAGTACTTTATCATGAAAAAATAAGGGTAAGCCTTTGGTCTCACTTCTACCAAGTTGTCTAACCATTCTCCAAATATCTAACATCAGAATCCAAGAGTAATTAAATTAGATAATTTATATTTATATATTAAGTACATTATTCTGAAAATATAGACAAACAACTAAAAATGTTTCCAATAACATATTCTCTGAGAATACCATGTATTAGCAGAATAAACAAACCCTGTAAGTAAGGCAATGTAAAAATACTTAACAAAAGGAGCCATATATGACCACAACTTCTTCAGGGATTGCTTTGGTTAATGCATTTGTCTGGCAGCCTGTGGTTTCTTTCTACATTCAGCCTTACCTTCCAACCTTCTCCCCCTTGACAGCTTTTCTATGGCCACCTGACCCAGTGACTATGATATCACTGAACTGAACTGTGTTAATGTCTTTGGCAAATTATTTCTCACTTTTTGCATCTTATCTCCTGAGATAATGAAACACCATTTTCCAAAAGCAAGACTATTTAATTTAGAAAGTCAAAAAAACACAGCTATTATTAAAATGACTTACTCATTTTACAGAAGTAATAATCTACAAGAAACATGGATAGTTCTTCAGTGAGTAGCACTGAGAAGTGTTTGCATTATATAAGTGATTTCAAACTCCATCATAAAGTTTGCAAAAGCAAACAAATGAAATATTCAGTTTCACTTACTGCATTATCAGGTTGAAATGGCTAAAAACTTGCATCCTACTCACTAAATAATTTTGTATTTAAATCAAGCATTTGAGTTTATCAAACTTGAAGAAAAGCATCAAACTGTAAATCTTCACAATAGTAACTGGAAAATACAGTTATCAAATTCAACTGACATTTCAAAAATCCAGTGAACCCAAAAATATGGAGATATTCACCATCAATTTGTCATACTCCATTTTTTCAAAAATTAACTTCTTGGAAAAATGTTTCACAAACACTGTCGCTCTCTACAGTAAGGTGTACCATACTTTACAATGCCAAGATCCCAGGAAAGCTTGCAAAAAAAAAATTACACTTGCTCTTCTTAGATAAAAACAGTATGTATTATTTACCAATAAAAGAAGGGTTTTAATTATATTAAAAATATTATCAATGGTGCTTCTAAATGGATACTTTGGCTTAATTGATGACTTAGAGTCCTTTATCACAGTACAGCTCCAAAGGAAATTGAAAGGCCCCTAGCATAGCATAATATAGTTCCATATCAGTGCACTTGCTAAGAAGTTTGCTCACTGTACTTATACTGTAAGTATATGTAAAACCACCAAAAAAATCCTCTGGTATGTATATTCCATTTCTATATATTATCTTACAAACAACTTTCACAGATGGAAAATATACCTTCACAAAGTTATTTAAAATGATGAAAGTCTGAATAACATAACCCCAAGCACACCCTTGCATTAAAGTCTTGAATGCAGTAATAACCTAAATTAATGGTTCTCTCTCTGGATTAAAGGTTAGCCTTTTAATCCAACTTATAAGAGGACGTTATTATATGGGTAAAAAGATTTGGTGGAAGAGATGATAAGTAGCAAAGTAGCCAATAAAAATGCCAAGTACAATTCACACTTACAATACATATCAGCCCTTTTCCCAGAGTTCTGCGTTACATGAGAAATCAGATATGGGGATGCTGTCAGACAGTCAGGAACAATATCAAAAAGTGTACTTACTCATATCTGGAGATAAATATATAGATATTCTCAAAAGACGACAAGTCATGTCCTCACTAAAGTCCCTATTATGAGTACAGTGCTGCTCTAACAGTGATAATGAAAACTATAGCTACTTTTGAGCAACAACTACTCACATCTAACTATATTTAGTGATTTCTTTCAGGGAACAAAAGAATCCATCCAAATTGCAACATACACTTCAAACTCATAATAAAAAATGATTTTTAAACCGTGTGACAGGAATCTTCTACTCACTAAAACAGTATAAAAGGGAAGTGTAGTATATAGAGATAGGAGCTAGTGAGGCAGAGTGGTAAGACAGAAGGAAGGCGGTCAAAACACTTTGCTCTTTCCCTTGTTTCTCACTTCCCTCCCACCCTAGGTAATGTTCTCAAATTTTAAAAAATGCAAAAACCACTTTCAAAAAAATAACTAAACTAAAAGACTGTGACTAGGGTTATTACCACAGCAACCCTAGACGATTATGGTGCAAAAGCAAAGCAGTGGGGATGTAGTAGCAACAGCATATCTCCCTCTACCCCACCCCTGATACAGTACCTCCAGATTTGCCCGAGCTGCAAGATGTGGATGAGTGACTGCAGGAGCCAGATGCAGAAGGAGCAGGACGCAGACCTGTGCTTGCCGCTGGCCCGAGTGGCCCCGCTGCTGTTGCTGCCGCTGTTGGCAGCGGCGGTGATGTTGGTCTTGCTAGCATTGGATGCTTGCCTTTGCGGCGTGGAAGGACGAGCCTCGCCTTCTCCAGCTGCAGACCCACTGCTAACCATGGTCTTACAATCAGTTCCAGTCTGCGGGCAACTGGAGGCAGCGGCCGCAGTGGCGCTGTCCTCGGTGCTGAAATCGTGCACAAACCAGCGGAAGCTAAACACTTGCACAGAGAGCGAGCCGAGCACCACGAAGAAAAGCGTGAGCCCGAACCACCAGCGCTGGCCGCTCAAGTAGTAGTCCACGGCGAGCCAGATGTCTGTGCCCACGTCCGCAAAGTACACGGCTACCGCGGCCAAAATCCAGAGGCAGTCCCACAGAGAGTAGCGCCGCTGCTCTCTGCCCAGGCGCAGGCACAGCGCCGAGGAGCCCGCCCCGCCGCCGCCTGGGCCGCCAACACCGCTGCCCGGGCCGCCTGAGCCCCCAGAGCCTCCGCCCGAACCGCTGCTCCCGGTGCAGCAGCAGCAGCAGCGAGAGCAACCACCGCCGTCCGGGCAGCAGCCTCCTCCTGCAGCGTCCTCGTCCTCGGCTCCCGACCCCGACGGCAAGCCGGGAGCCAATCCCTGCACGGAGCCTGAGTGGTCCGAGTTCTGCAGCGGGGTGAACGCCACGTCGCTGCTCTTCTTCATTTTCAGTCTCCCGTCTGACTTAGCGGCCATGATGCCTCCAAACCGGTGGAGAGCCCTCCTTTATCTGACACCTTTCCCTGCTGTCTCCTCCTCCGCCACCTCCTCGCCTCGCCCCGGCTTCCCTCCCCGGCGGCGCGGCTTCCCCTCCTCCTGCTCCTGTGCTGGCTTGCCCGCCGCCTGCAGCCCGCCGCC